GAGAAAATCAGTGTTAAATCTGATTCATCCACTTCAGACGCCAAGCTCTTAGGATGCACTGAGCAGCCCTTCAAAAGTGAAATATCAGCAGCTGTCAGTGCCAGTCATCGGTGCCATGTGTGATGGAAAATCAGTCTATATCATATCAGACACCTGTGACGAGAAAACGAGGAAGACGGGTGCCTGCCTCCTCCTTGCTGTGTTGCTTTAAAAATGGCTCCCACAACAGAAACATCCCTGGATGGTCTGCGTCATCGGTGACGGGGACGTTCGCCTTGCTGGTGGTTCAAAGTGTAGCGGTGGCTGTTCTGCTAGATTAGGTAGGTGATTGGCCATTAATATTCATTTCACAGTGTGTCTTTGTTAGACTACAGCGAGGGTTGACAGAGAGTTTAGATAGATTTAGTCTGCTGTGTGTTTCCCTTTAATTCCTACAGGAAGGATTAGTTTCCTACTGGATTCGACCATATTTGATACGGACTGTTCTCCGGATATTTGGTTGTTTTGCAAAGACTGCTACACTTTGGTTTAAAGACTTTGTTCACGTGTTCACATTTGCAGTGGTCTCTTGTAAGAATGGATGCCTTGTGAGTTGATCTTTGTGGAAAACAAAGCTCTGGCACTCCGGCGTTCCCAGACCAGATTGGAGATGTAACCTCTCTAACGTGTCCTGGGCCGACCCGGGGGCCTTCTGCCAGCAGGACATGCCCGAAACACCTTCCCAGGGAGGCGTCCAGGAGGCATCCTGACCATACCATACCATACCCACTTTATTTATAAAGCACATTTCAAAACGGCATGGCAGCCGACCAAAGTGCTGTACAGAATAAAAAGTAAAAACACAATATTAAACAATACACGGTCAACAATAAAATGCACAACAAGGCAGATAATCACGGTCAATAAAAAGACATAGTAAAATAATAAAAGTCAGGGATTTAAAAATGCCTGGTCGTAAAAGTGAGCCTTAAGCAGCGACTTGAACCGGAGGAGGGATGGTGCCGGCCTCACTGAAAGAGGAAGAGCATTCCAGAGTGTCGGAGCAGCATAGACAAAAGCACGCTGCCCCCGCGTTTTGTATTTCCTTGTTGGAACGTGAAGCAACAGGCAATCAGCAGATCTCGACACCCGGTTTGGCACATAACGAGTCACAAGATCTGACAGGTAATCCGGAGCCAGACCGTTCAGGGCCTTAAAAACAAAAGTCAGGATTTTAAACTTGACTCTGAAGTTTACGGGTAGCCAGTGGAGCCACGCCAGTACAGGTGTGATATGGTCTCTTCTAGGGGTGTTTGTTAAAAACCTGGCTGCCGCGTTTTCTACGACCTGAAGCCTGTTAAGAGCGGAGGCAGGTAAACCAATTAAAATGGAATTTGCGTAATCCAGTCGGGAGATGATAAAAGCATGAATTACAGATTCCAGGTGTGCTCGTTTCAGGATCAGTTTTACCAGATGTCCAAACCACTTCAACTGACTCCTTTCGACCCGGAGGAGCAGTGGTTCTACTCCGAGTCCCTCCCGAATGTCCGAGCTCCTCACCCTATCTCTAAGGCTGAGCTCGGCCACCCTGCGGAGGAAACTCATTTTGGCCGCTTGTATCCGCAATCTTGTTCTTTCGGTCATTACCCAAAGCTCATGACCATAGGTGAGGATTGGGACGTAGATCGACCGGTAAATTGAGAGCCTGGCTTTCTGGCTCAGCTCCCTCTTCACCACGACGGATCGTCTCAGCGTCTGCATCACTGCAGATGCTGCACCAATCCGCCTGTGGATCTCCCGATCCCTCCTACCCTCACTCGTGAACAAGACCCCGGGATACTTAAACTCCTCCACTTGAGGTAGGACCTCTTTCCCGACCCAAAGTTGGCAAGCTACCCTATTCCGGTTGAGAACCATGGTCTCAGATTTGAAGGTGCTGATCCTCATCCCAGCCGCTTCACACTCGGCCGCGAACCTACCCAGCAAGAGCTAAAGGTCAGAGCTGGATGAAGCTAGGAGGACCACATCATCCGCAAAAAGCAGAGACGAGATTCTCCTGCCACCAAACTCGACACACTCCACACTACGGCTGCGCCTAAAAATTCTGTCCATAAAGGTAATGAACAGAACCGGTGATAAAGGGCAGCCCTGGCGGAGTCCAACCCTCACCGGGAACAGGTCCGACTTACTACCGGCTATGCGGACCAAACTCACGCTCCTCTGGTAAAGGGACTGAATGGCCCTTAACAGAAAGCCACCCACCCCATACTCCTGGAGCGTCCCCCACAGGGTGTTCCTGGGGACACGGTCATAAGCCTTCTCCAAATCTACAAAACACATGTGGATTGGTTGGGCAAACTCCCATGTCCCCTCCATCACCCTTGCAAGGGTATAGAGCTGGTCCACAGTTCCTCGACCAGGACGAAAACCACAATGTGTTTAGCTTTCACTGTTGCTAATTCTACTCTTGTATTGCACTCCCGTCACTAGTTGTTTGCGTCACTCCCTGGGTGTATTTTCATTGGTCGATTGCAGACAGGAGTGATAGGTTTTCCAGCAGTGTTTGAAGACCACTGAAGGCTGACTTTAGCCCTCAATACTCTGTCACAGCTGGTCACAGTGGATGACCACAGACATTAAATCACTCTCATGTTGACCGTTTTTGTTGTGATTCTGTTCACAATGAGAGATTTGTCTAGGATGGCCCAAAAAATGCAGTGTCTGATTGGCAAACAGCAACGTGGCTCTACCACTGACTCTGTTTGCTTAGCAGTGCTGTTTTATCTCCACAAATAACACAAATGGTAAATGGCCTGTATTTGATATAGCACCTTCTAGAGTCCTGGAACCCCCCAAGGCACTTTACAACAAGGAATGATTCAGGTTTTTGCTGTAACACTGGACAGTGATACACTGTTCTCATCAGGTCCTGTGAGGTCTTAATAACAGCAGACAGCTCCTCCAGGAGAAGAAGAGATCTAGCAGACATAAAACCTCAGTAACAGGTCTTTTCCTAATGGACAGCAGCCTGGAACAGGTGATCTAAACTGTCTTCACCATGATGAGATTAAGGGACTAATTAGTCTGACTGTGTGTTGAGGTGTGACTGAGTTCATGCAGGAATATGTGCCTCCCTATCGGACTAGCGTGGCCCCTGAGAGACTGAGTGCATCGTCTCCTACCATCCGCTGCATCCAGAGGCTAATTAATTCACTCTTCCAGCTTCCATGCACTTTGCTGAATTTTCAGTCTTACAGGCAAGTATCAGAAAAACAAAAATTTAATCTAAGCTGTTTTGACAGTTCATTATCACACAATAATTACTGAACGAGGAGGAATTACAGCAAATAAGCATCTAAGGCTCGTAAAAGTAGGGCACGCAGGAACATCAGCATCACTGTCTATCTGCCAAATACAGATCCAGATATGTAAAGCTAAATTATCTTTGTCAGTGATAATTAAAGGAGGAATCTATGCTGTTTGATTAGAAGCTATATGAGAAGATGGAAATCACATCTGTCTCTTTTAGCTCACTGCTCCTTTTCCCCCTCTGTCTCCTAACCTGTTAAAGTCATGTTTGATCACACCTTAGCAGTGCTCTGACCTGTTCATTTAGGATGATGTGCAACTTCCAGGTCTGTTCTAACACTCCTTTGTTCCTGAGCGAGGTCTCAGCCGCCAGCTGGTGAGAGGACCCCACACTGACCGCCGCGCCCTGGGAGCTTTGAAACCGACCACTCACAACCAAGTAAAGAGACAGCTGAGTGTCGTTGTTAATGTGGACACACTGCACCACAATGGCAAAATCAATGGACCTATAGGGGGCATCAATCTTGACAACACAAGACCCCTTTTGCTTGTCTCAACACTCCTCTAAAGCTCCAAATGAATGGCTACAAGATCAGAGATGGACGAACGAGTACCAAAAGGAGGAGTAGGGGAAAAGGAAAGGCCGTAAAAGATAGAAAGACAAACGTATGGCATTGACAGTGATCTTTTATCGGCCTTTCCTGCCTTCATCCCAGGTGGTTATGCTATCATTTGAAGATTGTGCATCTGACTGATGGCCAAGTGGCCAGCCATCCTAATTCACCCCAAAAATAAATAATTAAACGGGCAGAGGTTTTTAGGTAAAGCCTCTGAAGTGCCGCGCGTCAGCTGCACACAGTTGGCATTGGCTTTGCATTTCTCCACCTCCTGTTTTTCACTTCCAAATTTCTAATTTGCACTGGAATGAGAAACAGTAGAGCCTCCTTTAAATAACAAAAGAGCCACTCGCTTTGTTACCGAGTGACACGTGAGATGCTCACACACACACAAAAAAAATAACAGTGAAGTTCATTGTCTCTGCCACCGACTTGAAGGATGCCTTCTCAGTACATTAACATATATGCAGATAGGCAGCAAGCAAATGAAAGCCTCCAAAAGCAGAAGAGATCAAAGACGACAGAATTGAGGCCAAGTAATGAGGATCTTGGCAAAAGCTCTGCAAATTTATTGATTGTTTGGCAAGCTTTACGTGCTCCTGCTCCATTTTCTCTGTGTCTATACAGTTTACTACGGCTCAAGCGGTGTGGGCTTTAACAAGGCTGCAGTGTGGAAAGGATTCTAGGAAAAAAGCCTAATCACCATCTAATTCACAATGAAATAATAATGTAGCTGGAAGAGGAAACAAGAGGAGAGAGATGGGCAGTTGAAAAGCCAATCAGAGCCCTAGATCCCCTCAATAGTTCTTCTTTAATCAATTACGAGCTTACAAGCACGGGCAGAATGAGACTACAGGGGATTAATCCACAAACCGAGACAATTTCAGCCACTGACAAATGAAAATGATAAAGTGAGATTACATTTGAATCAAGATGCCGTCAAATCTGCTTACGTTAGCCGTCATGCAATGTATTTAATACATAGTCAGAAAATAAAAGGTTTCATTTAAAGCTGAGGAACAGATGAGCTCAGAAGAAATGACTCAGCCAGTATGGAGAGCAAGAAGATGAAAATGATGAAGAAAAGAAGACAACTACCTCCACGGCTCTCGCTGTCGGCCGGTTTCACCTGGATGGGGCGCGTCATCTGGAGGCAACAAAAAAGAACAGAACGTCAGACAGGTTAGTGCAGACGATTCAGGCCGTTGTTGCTGCACAAACAAGCCACAAAGCGACAGTGCCAAGGCCGTCTCAAGCATATACAGGTGCTGGCCAGTAAATTAGAATATCATCAAAAGGTTGAAAATATTTCAGTAATTCCATTCAAAACGTGAAACTTGTACATTATATTCATGCAATGCACACAGACCAATGTATTTCCGATGTTTATTACGTTTAATTTTGATATTTATAGGTGACAACCAATGAAAACATCAAATCTGGTATCTCAGAAAATTAGAATATTCTAAAGGCCAATGAAAAAATGTTTGTTTCTCTAATGTTGGCCAACTGAAAAGAATGAACATGAAAAGAATGTGCATGTATAGCACTCAATACTTAGTCGGGGCTCCTTTTGCCTCAATAACTGCAGTAATGCGGCGTGGCATGGACTCGATCAGTCTGTGGCACTGCTCAGGTGTTATGAGAGCCCAGGTTGCTCTGATAGTCGTCTTCAGCTCCTCTGCATTGTTGGGTCTAGCGTATTGCATCCTCCGCTTCACAATACCCCATAGAAAATCTATGGGGTTAAGGTCAGGCGAGTTTGCTGGCCAATCAAGGACAGGGATACCATGGTCCTTGAACCAGGTGCTGGTGGTTTTGGCACTGTGTGCAGGTGCCAAGTCCTGTTGAAAGGTGAAGTATGCATCCCCATAAAGTTGGTCAGCAGCAGGAAGCATGAAGTGCTCTAAAACTTCCTGGTAGACGGCTGCATTGACCCTGGACCTCAGGAAACAGAGTGGGCCAACACCGGCAGATGACATGGCACCCCACACCATCACTGACGGTGGAAACTTTACACTGGACCTCATGCAACGTGGATTCTGTGCTTCTCCGCTCTTCCTCCAGACTCTGGGTCCTTGATTTCCAAAGGAAATGCAGAACTTGCTTTCATCAGAAAACATAACTTTGGACCACTCAGCATCAGTCCAGTCCTTTTTGTCCTTGGCCCAGGCGAGACGCTTCTTGCGCTGTTTCTTGTTCAAGAGTGGCTTGACACACGGAATGCGACACCTGAATCCCATGTCTTTCATGAGTCTCCTCATGGTGGTTCTTGAAGCGCTGACTCCAGCTGCAGTCCACTCTTTGTGGATCTCCCCCACATTTTTGAATGGGTTTGTCGTCACAATTCTCTGCAGGGTGCGGTTATCCCTAGAGCTTGTACACTTTTTTCTACCACATTTTTTCCGTCCCTTCGCCTGTCTGTTAATGTGCTTGGACACAGAGCTCTGCGAACAGCCAGCTTCTTTAGCAATCACCTTTTGTGTCTTGCCCTCCTTGTGCAAGGTGTCAATGATTGTCTTTTGGACAGCTGTTAAGTCAGAAGTCTTCCCCATGATTGTGGTGCCTTCAAAACAAGACTGAGGGACCTTTTAAAGGCCTTTGCAGGTGTTTTGAGTAAATCAGCTGATTAGAGTGGCAGCAGGTGTCTTCTATATTCAGCCTTTTCAGAATATTCTAATTTTTTGAGATACCAAATTTGGAGTTTTCATTAGTTGTCACTTATGAATATCAAATTTAAATGTAATGAACATTGGAAATACATTGGTCTGTGTGCATTGCATGAATATAATGTACAAGTTTCACGTTTTGAATGGAATTACTGAAATATTTTCAACCTTTTGATGATATTCTAATTTACTGGCCAGCACCTGTAATAGCGGCTCTGCAGTGCTGATCAAAGAAAGAAGAGGAAACCAACTGTCACACAGAGATACTGATTTGATGCTGTAAGGATTTTCCTCCTGCATTTTACATCACATAGAGCATCTATGCATTTGTGGCCTGTTCACATCTATTTTGGGATTCTTCTCGTCAGCTGGAGGAGAGTTTGCAGGGATACATATGTGTGTCTAAATGAAAGAGGCCAAGAAAGTCCTAATAAAAGTGAATCCAGCCACAGGAGGAGAGGGATCAATATGGGCCTATTGATCCAGGCCCTTGGGCTGAGGAGAGTGTCTAGCTGGGAAGAAATCTCTGGTTAGGGGGCTCAGTCTAATCCACTGGACCCTGATAAGAATGGCATTGCCTGGATTAGATGCCTCTGTCATCACTGCCTTTGTGTCACGCTCTCCTCCTTCCCTCTTTCTTTTTTCATTATTGTTGTTCAAGCTGAGTAGTTTCACCACACTCAGGTCCACTTCATTTTGGGGAAATAAAGCAGTTTTTGACAATTTGTTGTTGCTGTATGTTTTTTTTTTTAAATTTCACCCACTGAAACATGAAGATTGCAACCTAATCTGAAGTATGAGCACTCATCTGTGACCAGCACCATAAATGCATAAAACTAAACCCAAACTGGAATGATCAACATGGGCAGCTGATCAAAGTTCAATAAATGTGTGGCTTAAATCTTCCCGTAACACAAGACAAACCTTTCCCCACACTCATCCTTTCCAGTAAACCATTTGGTAGTCACAATTAAAGCATCTTTATGGCTTGAAACCATCTGCTTCCCAGTCAAACCACTGCTGATGGCATTTTTTTAACCACATATGTACTGTTTGACCCCCTTTTTCCTATCTTTCATCTTTTTCTCCAGTTCAATTCCACACCAGGATTGAAAAGGTCAGATTTAAAGAGAAGGCAATCCAATAAAACCATGGCATGTTCAAGGAGAAACACTGTAATGGGATTTTAAAATGTCTTAATAACATGGTGATGTATGGGGTAGAGGTTCGGGCCCAATTCATTAAGTGCTAAATGTATCAGTTTTCACCTTGAGGAACTGAGTAACCTTTATTCCATAAATGTTCCCACTGTAAATAATAAGCAGCAGTCTTAGTGAGAAAACGAGGACGACGCTCGGCTTTGTGAAGGTTTCAGCTTTCCAAAGCGGCCCCGTTTGCAACGGCTCTCTTTTACTTCAACAGCACAAGCTTGGTAATTTTACAGCATGGCATTGCCAAGCCACGGGGTGCACAGCTCCACAGCGATATGGTGTGATTACACAATCAACTGCAGTCTGACTGAAGCCTGCAAGAAGATTGAAACATCTCCAAACAGGCGGACAAAATGCATCTGTGTGACACATTCTCGTATAAGTTTACGACCTTCTGTTCACTCAAAGAAAGTCTCTGAATTAGGCCTCAAACAGACAAAAGAAGCTTCAGTCCTGCAAACTGATTTGCGCTTTGATGCATGATGGAGGAGTCTGAATCCACGACTGTGGCTTCACCACCATCTCATTCGTCTCCGCAGGGAGCCTGTGTGTGGGAGGAAACTCTCTCCAAAGCTAGTTACTGTTCAGCCTCCAACATGCCAGCTTAATGGTCTATTTATTTGCCCGACAGCAATGCATTATGGTCCCGAACAGTTACAGCTGATGGCTCTCAGTTTGCTAAATTTCCCTTGAACACAGAACAAAACAATGAGTAATTCCAAAAGAGAAACTAAATGCACCTTGTCCACTTTTAGATGCACCCTCATGTGTGCACAAAAATCATGATTATAAGTTAAATGTTTGAAGTACTGTTTATTTTTAACTATATATTTTCCAGGGTAGACCTTTTTGAGACACTAACAACACAAGAAAGCATGATTAGAAGATTGTGACATTAAGTTTGGAAAGAGGCTTTTCTGAGGAGGCGGAATCAAAGGGTAGAACAAGAAGAAACAAAAGAAGAGAAAATCCTGACAGAAAAGAGGGTACTCGTCATCCTTAAAAGTATTTTGTTCAGAGTGGTGCTTCCATACCAGAGCTCCACCTCCCTGCGTTTCGCTTTCAAGCCCAAATGGAATGAAGTGCAACACCTGCTCTCTACAAACACTGTATATTTACAGGACAAATGAACCACCTGCCTCTCAGTTGCACATTCAGCTAAAATGTACTGTTTGCAATCTGTGAAACATCAATTAAAATTGGCCAAATGATGAAATTGTGCTCAGAACAAATAATGCCAAAATGATTATTCATTCCCCCTAATATTCTGTTGCCATCTCCTGGAGCATGCCTCAATTTTAATTTTAACTTTTGACTTTTATTTACAGTTTTATATCTTTTAAATTTATATATACATATATGTATATATATATTTATATACATATATATATATATATATATATATATATATATATATATATATATATATATATATATATATATATATATATATATACATATACATATACATGTATATATATATATATATATATATATATATATATATATATATATATATATATAAATATATATATATATATATATATATATATATATATATATATATATATATATATATATATATATATATTAGGGTCAGGACTGTAACGTGTTAATTATGATTAATTAATTAGAAAAAAATGATGCGTTAAAAAAAATTCACGCATTTAATCGCAGCTTGCATTTCGAGCAAGGCGGAACCTTTGTCATTGCACGGCTTCCTCATAGACCGAATATCACTGACGCACACAACAATGCACAGTGCTAATGGCTACTAAAACGGAATAAAAACAGAAAGAAGTTGCCTTGCTTGGACTGATGCAGGATTTAGGAAACCGCCTCTTTTCTTAACTTGGGGAAAAAAAACCTTCCAGACAACAACGGAGTCCGTGTTGCGGAAATTTTTCAGAGATCATCTCTGCTGCAGCTGCCCGGTGGCACCGGAAACTTTACAAAAGTTGCGGTAAGCTACATTTTTTAACATTTACTTAACATCTGTGCAGCGCTGAAAGCACCAGACAGAATAATTCTGTGCCCTAACAGTAGTTTATGAAAGTAAGACAAACGAGAGGCACCTGGCTGCCGCTGGGAGAATGCTCCGTGTTCTCACTACTCTGTAAACAATCGCAAACAACGTGTCGTACAGTTGAAAACAGAAGTTTAAGTTAAAACAGAAACACTCTAAAACTTTTCTGATGATTTTCTAAACAATTCTGCTGAGGAATTATGTTTCTGAGACGAGTCACTGTCTAAACATCACATGCATT